TTAATGTCACATGTTAAAGAATTGAGGGGCAGAGAAGGTAAGCATTTGCTCAACACCTTGTCCATCGGAGAATAAGAACTCAGACCTCTGGCCCTTAATCCTATACTTTTCCTTTCTGAGCTCTTCTTGCACACACCCCACCATTGTTTCCTTTGTTTGACCCAATTCCCCTTGCTCACCACCACTTCCATCACTTATTTCCAGTTGACCCAAGTCCTCTATGCCCTTGAGCCCTTCAGTTATATTCAGGCTGCTTCACAGCTCTGCTGCCCTCCTTGTCCTGCCCCATTCTGCGGCTGAAAATTAATTTCCACCAATATTTTAGCAACAAAGAAAAAACGAGGAGATACGTAAAGTGGTGCACAGGGGGTTGTCATTTTTGACCTCTTGCATAATTAAGCTTCCCTTAGAACTTCTGTGACTGGGTGTGAGCTGACTGCACTCTGGCAAGATGCACATTTATATCCCTGGCCTGCTGAACTCACAAGCTCTCACCTGCCATCAGAGTTCTTAAAGCCCAAGGCTAGGCCATTTCTCCCTTGACTTGACTGATATTCTGTGTTTGGTTTTTAACCCCCCACATCACTCATGCCCCAGTTTTGTCTTCTGGCCCCACCTAAGCTGTCTTCTAGCTTTCTCTCTCGGAGTTCTCTGAACTGAGTCCTCCAGTCCAGTGTGGCCAGTTTCCTCATTCTTTCAACTTCTCATTCTTTGTCCAAGTAAGCTATTTTTCCTCCAGCCTAAAATGCCCAATTAGTATTTATTTTCCAAGTTATTGTCTTGATTATCTCTTTGGGTGGGTTTATTTTGTGTTCTCAAATAGATTCCTGAGGACAAGGGCCATGACTTAAGTTTACTTCCTGACATCATGTATTACACATGGCTTGTTATGGACTAAATGTATTCCCCAATATGTTGAAACTCTAAGCCCCAGTGTGGCTGTATTTGGAGACGGGTCTGTACGAAAAATTAAGTTTAAATTCATAGAGGTCATAAGGGTGGGGCCCTGACCTAATAAGATGAGTGTCTTTACAAGAAGAGAGCTTGTTCGTTCTGTCTGGGTACTAGCTCTCAGGAAAGCCCACGTGAGGACACAGTGAGAAGGCGGCCATCTGCAAGCCAGGAAGAGAGCTCTCACCGGAAACCAAATCATCTGGAACCTCGATCTTCTAGCCTCTAGTACTATAAGAAAATAAATGCTGTTATTTAAGTCACCCAGGTATTTTGTGATGGCAGCCTGAGCTAATCTATGCCTGTTGATTGAGAACATGGCCCCTGCTCTCGGAGCTCCAGCAGAGTTGCACACTGGGCAGGGGTATGCTGCTTTTTCATGAAAAGTTATCTTCGCACACAGTCCAAAGCCCAACCTTCCTTTGCCACCACCACACAGAAACTCCCATCTTTTCCTCTGTTTGTGACAGCATCTTCCCAAGTGTGAGCAGGGCTCCAAACCACAGGCAAATTTTTTATGTCATCTACACTGCTCTCGTATCCCATCAGATGCCAAGTCTTAAGAGAGTTGACTGGCCCAGGCGTTATTACCCTGCCTGTGCTCTTGAGAGGGCCCTTGTACTGTCCTTCTTACCTCATCTTCATCTCGTATACAGAACAAGAAACAGAAGCTCAGAAGTCAAGCAACATGTGCAAGGCTGCACAACTAATAAGAGAAGTTAGGTTCAAGTCCAGTTCATCTTTGTCTCCAATCCAGCGTACTTTCCATTGGACTTCTTTCCATCCCGCCAGAATTTATTATGTTCTGCCATTAACCATAGCTATTTATGAAATTGTCGTATACCCATTATCAGACTTTAAGCTCTGAGGGTAGTAGACTGTCTTAATCTTCCTTGTATCTTGGGCAGTGGCTAAGCCAGGGCCTTGTGCTGGGTAGGCACTTCAAGAAAAGGTACTGAATTGAAAGTGAGAAATAACTGTCCCAGTGTTGATCATGGGAAATCGAAGCTCAGAAGAGGGATTTAGAGCAAGCTTGTAGAAGGAAGAGATGGTTCCGACTTTAGCTTGAGGCGATGGAGAGAATTTGGGTAGGCAGAGAAGAAGGGGGTGGTCTGAGGGGGGCATCAAGGTCATGAGTTTAGAGTTGAGGCTGGCTTGGCAGGCCCTGGTGTTTCTGCACTGGGTTTGGCTATGCACACCAAGCAAGTCACTTAACTTCTTTAGACGTTGGTTTCCTAATGTGTAAAGTGTGAAGAGTAAGAGTGCCCACGCTTTGGGGTTAACTTGAAGAATAATGAGATCATATATGTAAAGGACTCAGCACATTGTCTGGACCTAATATGTATTATCTATTATTCATAATGAACACTACTAAAATATTATTACTCTAATGTGGTCTGAAAGTTCACATGGGCACCGATCTAGCTTTCTGAGTAAATTATTTCATTTACATTCATAGATAATGCCATTGCTGTTGATAGGTTAAAAAACAAAATCATTTAAAAGCACTAGAGGGGCGGCCGAGTGGCTCAGTTGGTTAAGAGCTTGCTCAAGAGTTTGAGCTCAGAGCAACAGTGGTTTGATTCCCGGCTCAAGCTAAGCAGCAGCTAAGCTGCCAACAGGTGGCAGGATGGCTCATCTAAAATAAATAAATAAACACATAAATAAATAAATAAATAAATAAATAAATAAAAGCACTAGAGAATTCACAAGAACACTTTGGTTACTATGATTTTCCTAACCAACGGGCTCTAGGGGTCTTTGAATGTACCTTAATCTTACAAGGGATTCTTGGTGGAAAATCATGGAAACCAAACTGTTGGGAGGCAGGAGGGAGCTAAGCATATTCTGGGTAGAAGATTAACCTGGTTGAATCAAAGACTTGGGCTTTGGGGAACAGGCTGACCTGGTGAGAATGCTGGTTCCACTTCCAGGCTATGCTTTTAAGGAATTTAGGCACATTACTTATCTTTGAGTACTTTGGTTTCCTCACCCCTAAAATAAGGATAACATCACTCCCGGGACAGAGGCGGGATTAAATTGGGTACCGTATACAAAGCAATAATCGATGACGATGGTGACATATGTGAAGCCTAGCTATGAAGGGCCTTGGCTTTTCACCCCTGTGAGGCTGCTGCTCTGTGTGGTCCCTGTAACCTTGAGGTTAGCATCATCCAGGACTTGTTAGAAATGCAAATTCTCAGGCCTATCCCAGACCAGCTGAATCAGACAGGCTGAGGTGGGATCCGCAATCGGTGCTTTTACAATCCCTCCTGGTGAATCTGTGAACTTAGGTTTGAGAAACTGCTGTGAGGTAATAGGGAGCCATGGAAGGTTTTTGTACAGCGGAGCGATGTGATAAAAACCATGGTTGTGCACAGACAAGTTCTTGGTTAGCAGGATTAAATTGTCTGACCACTACCAAGCTTCCAAAGCTGCTGGAAAATGCCTGTTTATTGATCCTTAATGATCTGTAAACACAACACTTGGATTAAATACGCGTAACCCCAAACACGGTGTTCGCCTGAGTTAGGAAACTCAGCACAAGAGGGGCTGTTTGGGAATCTGTGTCCATCCATCCAAAGACTTGGGACAGGACAGCCAAGGGATGCTCAGCGAATCGCGCCACTACAAGCGAGTCACAAATTCAGCCTGGAAAAGGAAGGGACAAGAAAACCATGCAGGGAAATCTGAAATGAGGGTCTTGAGGGCAGAGAATCTAGTGGTGGTGGAAGGGGATGGGGATAAGCGGAATGGAGGGCGAGGGAGGACCGTGCTGTGTTTGGATGCACCCCCTTCGCGTCCCTTTAGAGGGACAGGCTGGACTGAGAGAAGGGTCCGGCGGCCTCTCGGCCTTTGGGCGCAGGTCAGTGCTCCTTGCTTATTGTTAGTGCGAGGCAGGGGCGCCTCCCTGCCCCGAGCACCTCGCCGGGGCCACCCCAGGCGGGGTCCCCCGTCCTCCGGCCCCCGGGGCGAGCGCGGCGCGGGGCCGCCGGCCGGCCATTGTTCGGCCCCACCCCTGATGCATATTCACGCCGCGCGGGCGGCTCGCCCCGCGCCCTCCCCGGCGGGGCTTCGGTGGGAGTGCGTTTCCGCCCGCTTTTCCAGCCGGCGCAGGAAAGGGGGAGCTGTTTTCTCTCTCCTCGGAATATATTTTCGGTGTCCCGTGTCCCCTCCTCCCTCGCAGCCCGCCTCCCTCCCGCCTCCCTCCCCGCTCCGCCCCCGCCGCCCGGGTAGCTTTGTCTCGCGGCCTCGCGCTCACTCGCTCAACTCTCGGCGGCGCCGCGGCCCCAGCTCCGGGCCCGTCAGCAGCGCGCGGCGCGGGCGCGGGGCCTAGTATTTATTTTCCAAGTTATTGTCTTGATTATCTCTTTGGGTGGGTTTTTATTGGGTTCTCAAATAGATTCCTGAGGACAAGGGCCATGACTTAAGTTTACTTCCTGACATCATGTATTACACATGGCTTGTTATGGACTAAA